AATGGCTTTTCTTTCGTATTGAGTGATGAGTGAATTGACAATTAACAATTGAGTGACAATTTTGTGTAGGGCTACTCAGGTAATCAACGTTTTTGGGTTCATCTTTAATCAACTTGCAAAGTCTTTATAATTAGATAACCTTAATCAACCACTTGATTGAAATGTTGACAAGAGAGAAAAGTAAACTTCGAATGTCAAGGTTCTTGTCACTTCTGGATCTAGTAAAGATGAGGAATGATGTTGATGCTGATGATGATGATCACCCACCTGATTGCGCCATTTATCAACCTACTGTTCCGAGTTGACCTTGAATTAGTTGAAGATCACAAGAATATTAATTTTGGAACAAAAAGATAACTCGATTTTTTTATGATAACAATATTAGTCGCTTCTTGTTCATTTTGTAAACATGCAACTTTACTTCCACCTCCGTACAATGAAAATGATAATTTCATCTTTTCTTTTACTTTTCATTGGACCAGGAAAATGGTTGATAAACAGATCCACTTTGTTGACTCTCCATGATATCATCACCATGATATCATCAAGTCTTTACCTTGAAACTTGTTGCCTTTCATCAGCCGCCCAATCATATGTTTCACTTTTTTGTGTTTCGTTCAACCAAAATGATTAACCAAATGATAATCAATAAGAAAGCATTTCATTTCGTTATGAGAAGTAAAAAAAATGGAGAAAAAAGTGAAACTTCGATTGTTGGTCAATTAGTGAATCTCGACAATCTGTTCAACTTTCAACAATTAAATTGCAATCAGATTTACATCAACATGAGGATAACTTGAAACAATTAAATTAACCTTCACTTGAAACATTAACGATAATAATCTTGATAATACAAAATAACATTTCATCAAGAAAAAGGAAAATGAAAAAATGTGAAAATCCAATTATGTTAAACATGTTCAATAACAATTAGTTGATTAGTTAAACAAGTATGAAAAGCAATTAATCAAAAAGCTCAATAATTCAACAAGTTGACCAAAAAATGGAATCACAAAAGAAGTTCATTTTTCATCATTTCACCATCAAGTAGGTGCAAGCTTTTCCTAAATTAGCTTCATCTCCTTGAGGTTAATATCAAGGTATTCATTATCAAGTATGGGTGAGTGTGTAGGCTCAATGGATCGCAAATCAGGATAAGTAATTGAATGATTTAAATAAAGGCAAATATTGCTGTTATGTAAACCTGATGTTGAATTATAAATTCATTGCACGTTCAGGTAGCACGATACACCACAAATCATTGGCATTTTCCACAATAATTGGCAAACTACAAAAGAGTAAAGAAAAAAAGGAGTTTTCAGTGTTTGTCTGTAAATCAGTTTCAATTGCATTTCCAGTGTAAATTAACCTTTAATTTGCCCCTGAAAATTGAACAATTTAAAAGATGAAGAAGAAAAAAGAAGCAAAAAAATTGAATTTCATCATTGAATAGCAGAACAAAAGAATATAAAATGAAATTATCTTTTCTTCTTCCCTTTACGATTGAGTTATAAATGGCTTTTCTTGTTATACACTCAATGATAATATTGATATCATTGCTTTTCATCATCATTAACCATTAACCAAAGGAATTAAATGTTGAGCCAAAAAAACATAAACAAGAAAAAAGTTTAATTTACTTTTTTGTGTGTGTTGTGTTCATGTTTAGTTAAACAAGTCATTTAACGATCTGATTAAGGCAAGTTGGTAGTAAAGTTAATTAACCAATAAGTGTTGCCAGGTCTATAGCAATTTGTGCAACAATTTGAAACAAACTTTCAAGAGAATGGAGAGAAATTTGGAAAATTGGTTTTCCATTTTTTGAAGCATATCACCAATGGCCAGTGTAAAGCCATTAATCTTTGACCTTTAGGTAAAGGCATTTCAAGTGTTCAAAGGTTAAACGATTAAGATTTAGTTACATTGTTTAAAAGTTGAAAAGTTAATCAAGCAAAAAGAGAAAAATGTTTTTGCTCAGAAAAAAAAACTTTCAAACCTTTGATTGCTTTCCTTTCTAATCAACTCGTAATGACATTAAATGGTTAAATCAATGGTTATCATGAGTAAACCAGGAATTTACTGAATCGCCAATAATGAACACTTTTTCAATTCTTTACTGGAAATTGATATTTTTACTGGCAAATTGTTGTAATCAGCTTTTGCAACATTTCATTGAAAACTTTATTCTCATCATTGGTCACTTTTGACCATTTTTTTGATAAATCTTTTTCTTCTTGGAATCAAAATGAAAAGGTAATCATTTACTTTCCATGATTGAGTAAAATAATACACTTGGAAATGGATACAGTCAGTGATAGGTAAAATTGAAAAAATCGAGATTCTTTTCTGATAATGGAAAATGTTATTACTATTATCAACGAAAAAAAGGGTTTTTACTTGTTAATAGATGTTGAAATGAAATGAGGTGACAAATTGTTTTACCTTGTAACGCCTCAATAAGCATGTTAACTCACGCTGTGTTTATCTTCGTTAGCAATTCAATTCTTTTTTGCCTTTTTTCAGCTGAATCTTGAGAAAAAATATTTCTTCTCTAATCATGACGATCATCAACAGTATTGAATAGGTCAGTTGAAGAAGAATAAGAGAGAATGATGATTATGATGATGAACATGGTGAATGGTGATACTGATGATTATGATGATAAGTGACCTTATTAACAGGTAACATCGAAAGTACATTTTTTTGTCTCTTTTTATTGTATTGTACTATTTAATAAACACAAAGTACTTAGTTGCGCTTAAAAAGATTCAACTTCCCTTTGAGAGCTTTTCGTTATTGTAATTGTTGTCCTATTTATGTACATAAATAACCTAACAAATATCAATTGCTCATTTCAACAATAAACAGATGAATGGTCATAAATCGCCTTCTTGTTGATCAGTTATGAGAATTGGCTTTTTTCGCTTTTTCTTCTTCTTCTCAAATAATACTTGACTTGAGATCGGAAATTGCAAATTTTTGTCCAATTTTAATGGTTCAACTTTTGAGTTTGAATTTCAAATGAAAGCAATGAAAATTGAAGTGAAAATTGATTTTGTCCATTTGTCCTTTATTTTACCTTTATTTACCTCTTTTCATCTTTACTTTTTGTTTTCATGTTAAGCTTCATTATCTTGCAATGATTGCTTTTTTACGCTTTAATCGTTGAATAAAAGAGAGGAAAATTGAATCTGATAAAGATACTTGAATCATTATTGTATTATATCATTGATTGTTTTGTTCATGTTTACAATTACTGAAGACAGTTTAGTGGATGGTTTCAATTTAAATCGCTAAATCATTGTAATCATGAAACGGAAAGAGCACAGAAAATGCAAAATAACTCAATCAACTTTTACCTTTAAACGCTTGCAACTTTCCTAATGTCACTTGCACTTTCCATGTTAATCAATTGAAAGTTTAAAATCAAAACAAACGAAAGTAAGTTCAATATTTAACCAAGGAATAAAAGTTTAAGAGAAAAAATGGAAAAGTTTCAAAATCAAATTTTCATCTTTACCTTAACCTGTTTGAGTTAAAATCAACTATTTTCATGAAGTTCAAACATATCTGAACATTGCACCAAAATATTACAGAATAATATGACAAAATTCATTTTCAATATTTCTTTTTGTTAGCATTTCAATCTTTTAATCAAAAGAATATCGAAAAGTGGAATTGAGCAACTCAAGGAATGGAAATCGTCAAACAGTGATTAGTCGAGTTTTGGATGTATTCGTTGTGCAAGTTTCGTTGAACGAAATATGAAATTGTTCATAGATTTCAGTTCTAATCAATCAAATTTTTCTGTCTCTATAGAAGAACTGAGCATTTTGTAACTGAAATGAAATCTCTTCGCTGAATCTCATGTCCAACTAAAGTATTTCATCAAATTGGACAAATTGTAATGATTGAATGATGAAATGAAGAAGCTTTCCTTTATATTGATTATTGTTGAACTACTCAAAGGCAACTTTAGCCCAAAGCAAAATTTCAATTGACTCACCAAGGTGCGTTTACTAATAGCAAGGCGGGGTCATTTTCATCTCTATCTTTCATCAACTATTCATCAAGCAAGACTGAAAAGGCTCGTGCCAACAGTTTGAGGAAAAACGAGGCAACATTTTACCCAAAAAAGAAAAAAAGTTGAATGAAGAAAGAAAACAAGAAAAAGAAGAAGAAACTTAAAACGTAAATGATAAACTATTAACACCTTAAAACGCTTGCACTTTTCATCATTACATTATTTAATTAAGTCCGATAAAAATCACAAGATAAATAGCCTGAAGAAATGTGAAAAAGGTTGAAAAAGAAGCAAGAAAAAGGATAATCTTTTTTTATATTCACTTGTTCAGACAAAAATCATGTAAAGACAAATCAATTGCTCATCATAAACACTTATCAAGGAATCGTTAAAATAGTAAATTGTTGATGAAAAGCAAAGCAATCAATTGAAACCAGGTAAAGCTAATAAGACAATGAAAAGATGAAAATTGTCAAACTATTGTAATAACAATGAAAGTGTTACTAAATGTTGCCTTCAGTGTTTCAATGTAAATAGGCGATCTTTTCATTGGCTTCAAGATTTCAATCTGAATGTATTCTGTTGAAGAGAAAAGGTAAAAAAGAAAAAGATAAGAAAATGTTAATGATGTTAATGTTTTCATGATAAATGATGTTGGAATGTTAAATGATATTTGCTCATGATAAATGATTGTTTGTTTAATTTGAAATGATAATGTTTCCCTAATTAAATTGGCCAAGAGTTAACTGGTAAAAGTATCACCTACCTGATGCATAATCGTCTCGATCAGCCTTTAAATTGGTTAAAGGTAAATGTTTATCCGATTCATCTTCATTTCAATTCCATCTTAATCTCATCTTGTTTCATTCATCATTTTCTTGTTAACTTTGCCAACAGCTTTTTCACCATTTGCACAACAAAATCAAGATTCAGATTCATTTTCAATTTCATGGAACGCAAAAAATGTTGCCAAATGTTTTCATGAAATTTTTTATTGGACAAGACTTTTCAGCTCATCTATCGATTCATTTTATATATAATTTGTGATGAAAAAAGGTATAAAGTGATTTGGACAGAAAATGGAAACATTGTGATTGAAGAGGATAAATTGGTGACAATTGTTATTAACAAATTTAATTGCACTTAAATATGTTTGGGAAAGGAATTGTGATAAATTTTTAATTGACTCAATTTTGGGTGTTTTTTTTATAAGCAAAACTCTTGATTGTTACAATGATGGAAGATGAAAAAATCTGTGAAAAAGAAAAATATTTCGATTTTGTTTTCGATTCAACTTTTTGTTCGTATTTTCTTTGTACAGTTTGGACGATTGGCGAAACAATTAATTAAATATTTTCTCCATTCTTTGCATATCATTAGACAAAATAACTTTTTTGGTTTTTTTTTCCTTTTCCTTTGCAGTTCCAAAGTTGCTGGAGTCCATTTTGTTCAACAATATTTTTTACCTTCTTTTCAATTCAGAATCATTAGTTTAATCATCATCATGGTTATCATCATGATTATACATTTAAATTGAAAAAAAGCATTGACATTAAAAGTTGGTGAGACAATAAGATACAAAAAAGGTTTGCATTAAAATGCTTGAAAATGAGGGGAAAAAAGGTTCTTTTGCATATTTTTAAATGATTAAGATTGAATAGAATGATGATCATGATGATTCTTATGAATTAATGATACAAGATTAGGAAGAAGAGTTACTCTAATTTGGAAACTAACGGAATACCGTTTTGGATGAGATCGTCAAATGGCAACGAAATTGGAAGAAATGTCTTTGTTAGTGACTCTTTTTTTTGATGGAAAGGATCAAATGATGTCAATTGTTTTCATTTTTGTTTGAATAAAACTTGGACTCGGTTTTGTTGCTAGAGACACAGTTTGAAGTGACCTTTTTGTTGTTGTCCTGCTGGGTGACTCAATTGGGCAGTGGTATTGGGGCTGCAACTGAAGGTGGTGGAGTTGGTGACTTTTTGGCTGTAAGGTCAAGTGGTGTTGTGGCTACAATATTGTCCTCGTTGGAAGAGGGTGAAAATCCTGAATCATGATCACCCATCATGCTCTTGCTCCCCTCGTCTCTTGTTGCATTGTTGTTGTCATCGTGAAGGCACAGTTCAGTGTCTTCATCTTCTTCTGCATCTTCATCTTCTTCGTCTTCTTCATCTTCTGAGCCAACAGATTGTTTGATGCACTTGGTTAACTTGGAAGAGCTCTTCATGTTGGACGCTTTACGGGACAAATCAATTGGCCTTTCTTGCTCATAGAGAAGTTCAGAGGTTAAAGGTGGTGTTGACTTGATGTTGAGGTTGGGTGAGGCTGATGTCAACTTTGCAAGATGATTAATGGATCCAATTGGAAGGAAACGATTATAACTTGGATTGAGGAAATAGTTGTTAATGTTATTGAATTCTTTGGGTAAAACATTGAGTCCTTTACCAAACAATTGAGCAGCAAAGAGTAGTCTCGAGGAAGGATCAAGAGTCGATCCAAGGGGAGACATGGGTAGACCAGGGTGACCAGGATGGTGTAGAGGACTGCCACCGGTGGAAGGGTGATGATAGGGAAAGTTGAGGTTACCATTGGGAGTGTCTACTCGATTCCCATTTGGGGTTACATTTGGACTGGAAGAGTTGGACAGTGAGGTTGTCATTGTTGACCCAATGGCTGATGTGGATAGGTTAACCCGTGAAGCCTGACCCGAGGTGGCAAGTGGCGGTGAGGAAGATGAAGATGAGGAAATGTTCAATGGATGGATAAACTGTGAATAATGATTAGACTTGGAGGATGAGGCTTGAACAGCGGCTGCAGCATTGAACAGTTTAAGGTCTACTTTGGGTTCACCGTTTCGTTGCAACATGAAGGAATTGATTGGATCAAAAGGAGAGAATCCCAGAGCTTTGGCAACAGTTTGAATCATTGAGAAAGATTCGGGAAGATTAAGGTTGGCTAAACCTTCACTCGTCTCAAGTGGCGATTGTCCATTGGAAGGTGCAAGTCCAGGTGAAGAATGGTTATTATTATTATTATTACTAGTGTTGTTGACACGAGCATTTCCATTGCTTGTAAACACATTACTATGATTAGTTATATTGTGAAGTGTATGGTTGATGCAGTTACCATTTAAATTGTTTGTTGAACTATTTTTATTGTTGCTCTTGGCGTGATTGTTGGAACCATTCATGGTGGGACTCTTGAGGTTAAGTAAATCTCTCGAGTTGGCTTCAGCTTTAATTTGATTGACGAGATCTTTATTTTCATTGAACGATTCACTGATCTGAATGGGCCCATTGGAGTTGCCTGTTAAACTGCTTTGATTATTTTGACTATCAAGAGCACAATGTAACTTGAACCAATTTGATCGACGTCCATAACGAGATCCTGTTCATTAATCACCACCAAAACAGGTAAAAGAACAAAAGAAAAGGAGAAAAAATTAGAAATGCTTTTCAAGTTAATTAATTGAATTAATTGGTGCTGATTATCAATTTATGACATTGCAAAGATAATTTAATAAATTGAAATGGCTTTGCACAGGTTAAACCCTTCCGGCAACAAATCTTTCAATTTTTTTTCTTCATTTTCTAATTTTAATTTCAATTCATTTCCATCAATGTTTCTGTTTCCTTTTCTGTTGCATTAATCATGAAGCCCATCAGGTCATTTAAATTTAATTGTTTTTCTTCTCTTCTTCTTTTCATTTTGTTTTGTGTCAATCATGATCTCGATCATGATCATCATAATCATCATGCTCATGATTACAAACATCATGCTCACATCAATTGAACCGTTTTTTCCAAGAGAATCATTAGAGTTGGATTCAATTTCTATCCAAGGAAACAAGTCAATTACTGGCAACATTTGAGAGTAATAATTGAACAATCTAACAACACTTTAATTTATGTCTTTTGTGTAACTAATTTTGTGCAGGTTTACAGGTAACGAAAATTAATGAATTAGAAGAAAAAATTATCCCAAAAACCGTAATGCTGTTTTCCCTCCCTGACAGTTTGTTGATTAAGAGATGATCAACTATTTTGTTTTCTTAATTAGGAGAGAAGAGAGAAAAAAAAGTGAATCTTTTTCCGTTTTAAGATCTTCTTTTTTTGCATCAAAATTACTATTTACAAGGACCTTTACCAATGGCAAACCTGCACCTAAACCTGACGCCCTAATAATAATTGAAGTTGCGTTTAAACGTGATTCAAGTTACACCAATCATTAAGTTGAACAGAGGCAAAGATTATCACTGGAAGCCAACAATGAATTGCAATTAAACGCAAGGTTGTCCACCTTGCCCTCGACTCTTGTGGGTGGGTTGCCGTTGCTCGAGCTAAGCGAACCAAGTAAATATTGCTAAAGATGAACGGAAACAATTGATTGACCACTTTTTCGGAACCTTGTTTTCCCTTCTTTTTGTCTTTAGGTTTGTCATCATCTTTTAATTGTGGACAAAAATGTCAACAAAGTTCACACAATTAGCTTTTACCTCTTGAAACAATGTGAATAAAATTGTTAATTTAATCTGTTTTCTCGTTTTTTTTGTTTCATTCGCTTAGTGAGTCGACTTCCGTTTCCAATAAGACGTAGTTTACTTCCTTTCGTTAATAAACACGCAGCTAAGTACAACCCTTGATAATTGATCGGAACAAGTTGATCAACAGATTAACGAAATAAATGCAATTAAAATTTTCCATCACGAGAATTGTTGCTTCTTCTTCTTTATTGCAATTTACCAATCAATTAAATCTTAAACTCAATTATAGGATGAGATAGTGAATCTCCATCTTTCATTCAATTCTCACAATGGGTTTACAGGTAACAAAATGTCTGCAAATGAATGACCCATTTCGCGATTCGTAACTTCTCTCAAATCTGCTTTTCTAAGCTTTCAAACTTACACTGAAAATACGAGCTTGAACAACATCTAAGACTCGATCAGAAAACGAAAAAAATAACTTAATCATTTTAAAAGAATGTCAGAAAACAACCAATTTTCCAATGTTCATATTCGCTTCCTGGGATTTTTCGATTATCTATCGAAATTTGAAATCTATTATCGATTGAAAACTCGACGAAACAAACATAAACTTTTATTTTTCGATTTTTCTGTGCCACTGAATGGAGTTGGAAAAGTATTCAAATGATGGATGAAACTATCTATTAAAAAGGGATAAAAATCATTGATTTTTTGGTTTAAATGATTTTTACGATTGAGTTTTGATTTCACTTTTAAATCAACTTTTCTGTTCGTCTTTGCTTTTTAATTTCATTGTCTTTCAATGTTTTAAGGTTGACCATTTGAATAATTTGTCATCCTTTCGATTCATGCTGTTGATTAAAGTGAAACTGATCAAGGTTTACATTAAGTATATCATCTTGTTGTTGCTTGATTTGCCAATTATTTAGCAATTTACATTTAACCATTCAACATCAATCAAGGTTAATATTTATTGATTTTACACCTGTTTCCATTCACTTAACAATTTAACTTTCAAGTACAATTTAATCAATTGGTAAGAGTTTAATTTGGCTACAATTAGCTGAGCAAATTGATTGAATAAAGTTGACCTTTTTTCGCGCTTTGCTTTTGTTTGTTTCTTCATTTTCCTAACTAATCTTTCAATTTGTAAATATTGAACGTTATCATTTTTGTTACGATAATCAAACGATATGAAATGATAATTCAGGAAAAGAAGAAGAAGAAACTTTTCCTGTTAATTATCGAGAGAAGTAAAATCGTGATTCAATGTTTTTTTTTGTCAAAAAATGTAAATAATTTTCATGCCAAAAGAAGGGATGAAATGCTGTTGAAAGTTGAAAATTAAACTGAATTCATGAGTTTCCAGATGATAATTATCATCATTACAATAGAACGTGATTTGGCCTAAAAAATGATATAAACCAATAACTGATAACAATGAGATTTGTGTAAAGTTTAAGTGAAAACATTTGATATCATTGAATATCTTGCATCAATACATGTAATTGAATGAACATCTCTCATAATGGCTTTTCCCTCTCCAGAATCTGGATAACAAATCTTGAAACACAATAATCAAAGTAAACTTAATGAAAGGTAAATGCTCATGATTACATGATACATTCACATTTAGTAGATTAGTTGGGAAATGGGTTGAACAAGTTAAAGGATAAGTTAATCAATAATGTTCAACCTTCTCAAATTGTTTAGGAATTTAAATCAACTTTGCAACAAAGTAATAAAATGAGGCGAAATATGAATCCCGAGCATTTTGTTTGTTTTTGTTTCAAGTTGCCTTCAAGTTAATCAGTTGCAACAAATGAATATAAGATTACAATTTAACCAGAAATGTGCAAAGTATCAAAGTTACAGTTAACTAGAAGTTGATTCAATTAAAACGGTTAGAGGTTGAACCAAGAGCATCTGTTGAGGAGGAAAGATTGAACGACATTTCGAGTGATTTTGTTTCGAGCAAAAATGTCGACCAATTTGGTTGATCAAAGGTGAAGAGAAAACGGTTTCTCTTGAATTTTGTTTCCAGGTAAACATTTTAATTGCATCTATAGGTTTCTCTTGTTGCTTTTGACACATTTCAAGACATGCTCATTTGCTGATGAAATAGGAAGTGGGAGGGTGCAGGGGGTGGTCTGACTGGTAAAGGCTTTTATAGTTAATTTGATAAACGTTTTTGTTTTTTTCAGGTTCAACCTGATAGGCTGGAATCAGGTATGAATCAGATAGAGGTAAGTTGTTTCCAATTAAAGAAGTTTATTTTTTCAAGAAATCAACTTTTACTGTTATCTTTTCTGGTCAACATTTAATTGAATTTTATCATATTTCAAATTTATTGAAATTCAATGGGAAAAATAACATTAGCTAATCATTTAATCATCATTTTTAATGATCATTACATTTCCCTTTCTTGCAACTGTCTTCAACTCTGCGATTGGAAATAAGAAATTGAATCAATTTCCTTGTTTTTCTTTGTTTCATTAAAACTCATCTCTGGTTAATTCAACAATTATACTTAACAATTTTTAATAGACTTTTAATTGATTCATCTGCCGGTTGCCATTTCAACAGATCATCAGATAATTTTAAACGATTAAAAATGTTGATTTGTTTTCTTCGCATATTTGATCGGCTAAACATTGGAAACATTCATGAAAACAAAATCATTGAAATGATCAGCGAAAAGTTGATCCAAGTTTAGACTCATCTTTATCGACAACGATATTGTCGAAGTCAGGTTACATAAGAATTCATATTTTTCTTTCTTATTCTCATTTCCTCAGTTTTCAGTCAACAATCGATTGAATTCTGGTCAAAGATTCGACTAATACTTTTCTTCTTATTGTTGAGTGAAAATTGAAAAGGTAATCATTTACTTTCCTTTACTTGATTGAGTAAAATAATACACTTGGAAATGGATACAGGCAGTGAAGATGATAGGTGGAATTGAGATTCCTTTCTGATAATGGAAAATGTTATTACTATTATCAACGAAAAAGGGTTTTTACTAGTTAATAGATGTTGAAATGAAATGAATGTGAATATCTCTCGCTAAATAATTCACGGAATCATCGGAAAAGTTTTGAAAATCATTATCATCGTTTAACCGAGAAAATATTGTAAAGTTAAATTGAGTAACTTAGGGAATGAAAACTGTCAAACAGATGATTAGTCGAGTTTTGTGTTTGTATCACCTGCTTGATGATTAGCTTTAAATTGGTTTCCAAAAGGTAAATGTTCATAATTGTTAACTGATTCATCTTCATTCAAATTTCAATTCCATCTTAATCTCATTCATTTGTTTCATTCATCATTTTCTCGTTAACTTTGCCAAAAGTTTTTCACCATTTGCTCTTCACATTAAAATCAAGATTCAAATTCAACATTTTCGATTTCATGAAACAAAAAATGTTTCCAAATGTTTTCATGAAATTTTTTATTGAACAAGACTTTTCAGTTCGTCTATCGATTCATTTATATAATTTTGATGAAACGATTTGATAAAGTGATTTGAGAAAATATGGAAACACTGTGATTGAAAAGGATTGGAGAAAAATGTTCATCATTAAACATTTACCAAAGAGTTAAATGTCTGACCAAAAAACATAAAGAAAAAGCTTTTACGTTGTGTTCATGTTTAGTTAAACAAGTCATTTAACGATCTGATTAATGCAAGTTGGTAGTAAGTTAATTAACCAATAAGTGTTTCCAGGTCTATAGCAATTTGTACAAAAATTTGAAACAAACTTTCAAGAGAATGGAGAGAAATTTGAAAATTGGCTTTTTGAAGCATATCACAACCAATGGCCAGTGTAAAGCCATTAATATTGACCTTTTACTGACTAAAAGCATTTCAAGTGGTTAAAGGTTAAATGATCAAGAATTAGTTGCCGAAATTGTCAAACTGTTCCTAATAAATGAAAATATTTTAATCTAATTTTGCCTAAAAGTTGAGTTATCCAAGTGAACTTCAAGATTCGAAGCGCGAATCAAAGAAATGTTCACTTGAAACATGCTTTGATTTTCACCATTTGGAGCTGTTTTCACATAAAATTTACTCTAAACTGTTTCAACCAATTAATTCAATTTATCCCTGATTGACTAGTCAATTGAAAAAGGAATGAAATTTGAAAAGAAATCTTACCTGTTTTGGACATTCCAACTGCAAGGCATTTTTTTAATCGACAACTTTTACATGAAGTGCGATTTTTTTTGTTGATCACACATTGATTACTGTTTTTACACTCTCCAATGGTTGATGGATTATTATAAGTCCTACCGAAAAAAGATTTACATCCTTCACAGGTAAAGGCACCAAAGTGATAACCAGCGGCTGGTTCACCGCAAACTTTGCACAATTGATTCATTTAAGTAGTAAAATCCGCAGTTGATTGAGTAAATGAATGATGAGACGAAAACAGTTGTAACCAGTCGAACAGACGAAAACAACGAAAAAAACAAAACTGATGAGGATAAATGGTGAAGCGTTTTTCAAATGTCAATGATTGAAAAATGGATTAAAAAAAGGTAAACAAAAAAAAGTACAAAACCAAAGTGAAAAAATAACGTTGACACTGTTTATCAATTGGTTAATGTTGTTTTACAAAAAAAGTTGAAAAAGTGAACAAAAAACGATTCAAGGAAGAGAGATGAACAAGTAATGAGTGAGTCAAAGAGGCACATGCGTAGCCACTTGCCACTCAGCGAACTCACTCGATTCTCACTTACCTTTAATTTCAAGGTAACATTCAATTTTGCTCAGGTAAAATAATCTTCTCTTTCTTTTACCTTTTTCTTGCCTTTCTTTCATTTGTCAATAAATCTCGCCATTCACTTTCGAAACCTAAACAAATACAATGTTCAAAGTGAAACTTGACTTTTGATATCGAAGAGGAATCTTCAATGCTTCATTTTTACTCAATTGTTATCGGGCTACAATTGAGGTGAGTTGTGAGAAAAGGTAAAGTACAAGATTGATATATAATACAGTTAATCAAGTTTACAAGACAATCATGACCAACAATGAGAACATGTAAAGTGATGAAAACAAGTACAAGATGAACAACAAACAGCAACATCATAATCAACCGGGGAATCAAGATGAAGAGCGAAAAACTGGTTTCTCTTTCTTCTTCTGCTGTTGATCTCTTTTCTCTCGTCTTTCGTCTTCATCATCCTTGGTTCAATTAGGTAAAAGATGAAAATGTTTTTTGTTGACGGTTAAGAAGCTAAAGGGAGAAACAAGGTGAACAATAATTGAATTATGTATATTAATTTCAGGGATAAATCATCTTTATAAATTGGTTGAAATGATTTCATGATAATCAAGGAGAGCTGAGCTTTGTTTTTCACCTTTACACATCGTCTATGCTAATGAATTTTCTGTCAATGAAAATGGATGAAACTTAACATTTTTTACCTTCTTTTGTCATTCTTTTTGTTTCATTTTATTCAAAGTTTCAATTCTTGGTTTTTTTTCTTCTTGAATTTCTTAAGAGTTTGATGAGAAGATGAAGAAAACTAAATGAAAGGATAAAAGTTGAAAATGTTGTCGAGCGATAAAATCGAAGGTAATTTTTAAATAATGTTGGCCAATTCAAGGTTAATCAATGAATCTCATGCCGTGAACGGGAAGAAATGATTAAGAATGAATTAAATATCATGCAATGAATTTAGCCATTTGGTAAGCTGAATCGGGTGAAAGTGAGAGAAGAAGAAGAAGAAGAAAAAAAAATGTTAAAACAAAGTTACTTTCAGTAGGTAAGAACCAGTTAACATGAGAAACGTCAACGTTTTCTTGTTGCTCAATGAAACTCTATTAGAGGGAAAATGAAACGAATCGCATGAAAAGCAAAGGTAAACTTGATAAACAAATTGGATTCAGGAAGATATTGAAAACTTCATTTTTTTATAAGACTAATTGGCTAATTTTGCATTAAAGGTGGAAAAGATGAAATGATATAAAAAAGCATCGAATGAAAGTTTCATTTTTTTCTTCTTCACCATTTTCTTAATGAAAGTCAAAGTACAAAATCAATTGGATTAGCATCAGTATACAGTTTGAATTGAATATCTGATTTAACGGCGAAGGGAAAAGTGGGAAAAAGGTGGCTTAACAGAATGAAGATGAAGGTGAAATGAGGTGAAAACGAAGCAAATTCAGAAGTAGAATCATGAACACGGTAATCAAAAGTAGAAGTGAATACAACTGCAAAATCAGTAAACGAGGTCATTCAGTAATAACAAGAAAATTGGATAAAAGTTATCATATTGTTTAGGTAAAGTTAATGTGAAAGTGAACACTTTGAAACTTGTTCAATTGTAACTCGGTTGACCATTGATCAATTGGATGAGAAAGTTGATCTTGAAGAAGAAAATTGTTCTTTGTCCAAGGTTTTCCATGAAATGTTTCCATTCTTGACAAAATATCATCAAAGTTGGTCATGAAAAAAATGGAAACAATTGAAATTTGGAAAATCGAAAGTCAAAGTCTAATTATGAATTTCAACTTGATCTTGATTTAGTTTTTCAACAAAGTTTTGCCTTCTTTACTCAAAGAGCAATTAATCTTGAAATGTAAAGATGAACTGAAACTTTTTGGTGGAAAAAAGTGATTCGACGAAAAAGCATGTTGAATGTTGAAGTTGATGTTGAAGCAGAAGAGTTGTTGTCGAGTTTTGATTGCGTGCCTTTACCTGTTAATCAGTTCACCATGAATCTGGTGATCTTGAATTAACGTTGTTCTGGTTTCCCTCTCATGTTATTCATAATTTCCAGTTTTCTTCTCTTGTTATTAAAGCAAGAAAAGTTATTTAACATGTCAACTATGAAATGACAATCATTTTCCCTTCATATTCATCGTAAAAACTTCCTTAATTAGACAATGTCGTTCCCGTAGCCTTAATATTACATTGTACTTTAATAATTATTTTAAATGTTAATCGCAATGAAAGAAAGTCCTTGGATGTAAAAAATTCAACTCTTTTCTTAATTCATCTTTGATCAATTAAACTAATTAAAGTAAAAATCAGTCTCCAATTGTTGATTACAATTCAATACAATTGACAGTTGAATGTTTCCAATTTTTAATTTAGTTTTGCCAATCATTAACTTTCCCAGCTTCAACCTTTTCATTTTTATTGTTTCAACAGGCCTTCAACTAATGCCGAGTCCAGGTTTTATGGATAACAAGATCATGAAAATTGGCCTGAGAATTGAATGGATAATGAAAGAAGAGTTTAAATTTAATTAATTGCTGATATAAAATGAGTGGCGAAAAGAAAAAGTAAAAGTTAATTGAAGCAGAAAGTAAAATGAAACCTTGACCTGGTTAGGCTTAAAAGATGAGAATCTTGAATCTTCATTTTCGAGATTCGCTGAAATTCAATTTCCTCATTTTCTGAATAATGAAGCTCCAGGTAACCGGAAACAGAGAGCGAGATAAACATTTGGAAAAGTAGAAAATGGAAAAGTGAGAAAAAATGAGTTGACAAAATTCGAGTTGACTTTTAGGCGAATTTGAAAAGTTGATATTTTCAGTTATTTTTTAAATTCTTTCAGGGTGATTAACCATGTATGACAATGTTTCTTGAATGGAAAAGCAAATTGTCTCGGAATTTCTTGTTGAGGAAAAACTGAAAGACTAATTGACTGGCACTTTTACATAGCTGTTACTCACCAACTTTGCTCTTCATTTCAGCTTATTCTTGGAAGAAGTTGAATAAAGCTGAAAACTGGAAAGACCTTGATATGGAATCATAGTTACGAATAAATGAAAAAGAGAAATAAATTCATGCCAACCTGATTTTCATCATATTACTATTGACCATGGTAACTAGCGAAGGATCCTTTTCTTTCTTTTCTTACTTTTTTCTTCTCTCTTTTTTTCTCTGTTCGATGGTTTTTGCATGATTCCAACGGACTTTAGAGTTTTTTTTCACTCGCTCTCTCTCACTCTTTCGGGGAAACACCGATAAAACATGAGAACATGACGATTCAAGAAACCAGGTAAAAGAGAAAGGGAGAGAAGGAGAAGAAAAATATGAATCAAGAAGAAAAAAAAATGAAAGTAAAAGTTGCTCAGATTAATATACCTGATGCTACCTTGAAAAGGATCGAGGAAAAGGTCCGACTGTTATTTCATTTTTGCATCATTTTCATGTTCAACTTATCATTATATTTTCTTACTTGGTAAACTTCAAATTTATTGTCACGAAACTAATAATTTCTCATTATTATTATTATATTTAGACTCTTTTATTGTCATCGCTTTATTCATTCTTTGCCATCATTCACATTCAAGTTCAAATTGTCATTCCTGTTTTGCCTTCTTTTTTTATATCAACAAGGTAAAGCAATTCTGTCCATTAAATTGACCAATTCAAGTTGAACAACAACCTTTTCAATTTTCAATATTTCTGTTGACCTAACCATTAAAGCTTTATGTTCCCATAATGTCACTTCGTGAGATTAGTTCTCTTGCTATTTACAGATATTTTTACCGGAAAATAATCTTCGCTTGCAATTATTAGATTCAATTTTTGTCCTAATTAATGATCAAGTGAATCAAAACTTACAATTTAAAGGGCGACGAATGAACGACTTCATCGCCTGATTTCTAGTAACAATATTGAACTCTTGTAAAGCATATAATCGGAATCGGAAAAAGTTTTGTCATGTTCAGTGTGAAAAAATGACTGATTCAAATTTTGAGCGAAAAATTGATTTAATCAAATTTGGAAGCGTCAAGATGCTTTAGACCCAAATTCCCATTCAGATTGTCTTAACCTTACTTACAATTGCTAGTTGCTTTACCTTTAGATTTCCTGGTTTTGGATTTTGATTCATTTTCAAAGGTAATGTCTTGGTTATTTTGAAATCAATTAGTGAACTTTGTTTTCCATTATTAACTTGACTTTTGTTGGCTAATTTGCTTGAAGCACGTTTCGTTGGTACATAACAATGAGACATTTGGGAATCCCGACTGTAACAGTAAAATTGACAATTGAAACCTTTTATTCAACATTAGCATTTCAAATTGTTAATACAATTTGCCCAATGACGAACCAAAGAAGTCAATCTTTCACATTTAACTTGAAATTTTTACGAGATCTTTTTATTGACATAATTCCGTTAGCATAAACTTGAAATAACTCTTAACCAAACCACGTCATAAAGAGATGATTTAATGATTTGCAAATGCCAAAGTTAGTCATAATTTTAACATGTAAATTTATCATGAAAAGAGTGCAAAAAAAGTCTGAAATAGAATCTTGAAAAATTGATTCATGATAATTTCTGAGCAGAAAAAATGATTCGATTATTGCCATTTCATTGATGAACAAGAAAAAGTTTGTTTACAAATAAAAGTTTAGTTACAAATTATTCATGCTTTAATTTCATTGAAATTTTTTCCAATTTATATCATCATGTGTTGATGACAACATGATGTTCAAGAATAAACGATTGATCGCCACAAATCGAGGCTGATGAGGGCCTTCTCAATGAAGTTTAGAAGAGCGAAAATGAGAGAAAAACTTTTTTTCAGGTTAAACAAAGAGGAAGAAGTACTTGAATTGACTACATGAAAGGTTGAGAATAATGTTCAAGACAGGGATGAATAAGATGAAGATGAATATGATGTTACAGAA